AATCTGCATGTGAGCCTACCTCTATAAAAACTGTGGGGGTTTTATGAGGTGTGGGATGTTCTGAGACTTTCCATTAACTGTTACTCGCTATAACAAATTACCATTATTATCCTGTGCATTTCTATTTCATAACATGGTGTGGGTTTTGTTAGTCTTTTGAAAATAATAAAACAGATTAAACTAAACAAGAGCTGCCCAGGGATAATAACAAAGTCTATAAAAAGAGAAACTCTCCAATTATGGTTTACAATATAATTAAATCATAAGAGGCCTTAAAAAAGGTTGAATGAGTCTTTGTGTGTGCCAGTGGTTGAAAAGCACTATATTAGAGCCCGGAGGTGCTGGTGATTATATATGGTAACTAGATATGTATGGGATTTGTCCGTGAGCCTGTAATCTTGCAGCATAGACCCCTGTAGTTCTGGCTATGTGAGGATGAAGTCACTGAATCCCACTCCATTTCCAGGCCCTCTGTACGGATAATTGCTTACCCAGGAAGGTGTGTCCCTGCCTGATGACTTATATAGAGGACAAGTAAGTTCCTGTGGCTTGAGGGTAGCAGGCTCCATGGTCTGGGCTCTACACATTTCACTCCTCAACCAAGGTGGCAGTGCTGGCGGGTGGGAGGGTAAGTGGTTAACTAGGAATGCTGATTGGAATTGCTTATACTTGTAAGAGCAAGAGTGATTTGGTTTCTTCTGGAGAGCTCTTTTACAAGCTCTACTCTGTGGACCTTCAACAGCTGGTGCCTGTGGAAGTCTGAGAGCAGAGCTATGTAATTTCTTTTCCTAGAGTGGATGGTGGAGGAATGGAAAAGCTGCTGTAGGTGGCAAGGAAAACTACAGCATTGTTCCCAGAAAGCATCCATTAGCCTTAACAAATCAAGGGATTTCTGTGTTAGGCATATGCCTCTTATTTTTGTATACCTCCTGCTTGGGCATGTAGCTTTGACAGTGCCCTGTCTGGGGTGTTACATGCTGAACTGCACATGCTGCAACACTGGGACACAAAGACTGGTGTTAGGACAAGAATCTGCTTGAATACATGTTTCAGTGCAGCGTTCTCTGCCCTGAGGGGACACCTGATCGATGCTGAGATTTCTGTAATGAGCTTTTATTTTGGTGGTAGCTTGGGTGACGCTGATCAGCGCTATTACAGGATACCTGCCATCTGGTATTGAGAGACTACTGTTCTGTATATGTGCTCTTTCCCCTCCTTTTCCACATGGCCTTTTGACGGCCTTTGCATTTGAAGTGCCGTTCACCACTTCTCAGGAGGCTTAGCCCACTCTTTTGCCATGGGGACTCTTCCAGCAGAGGTGTTGAAGCAATGTAAAACTCTTCCTCTCCAAGTGTTTTGCAGGTGGCTCTGAGGTGGTGGTGTTTCAGGTGTCTTCATTCCTAGGACCATGGTCACTTGATTTATTCAGTCCCACATCTGTACTACCTGCAAACACCTTTCTGGTTAGATGAGCAGTCAGTCCAAAAAACCTGGCCAGCCCAAACCATGTGCTCTCCTAGCTGTGTGATCTACCAAGGCCATACCATGTATCTTACAAGGTGTGCTTTAGCTCAGACAGATGTTATGATCTTCATGGAGAAGGAGCTAAGGTCTTCCATCCCACACCATCCTGCAAATGAGAAATGATGATAATGTTTGGTGTCTTTGGGGCTTATGACCTAAAAGATGAAATATTTTCCCCAATTATGGACCTGTTTAGGTATGGAAATATAAGACAACTCCTCCCCTCCAATGGAGTACAGTTGTTTCCTGCCAGAGCTTCTATTCATCAACATTATGTTGGATAAACACCACTTCTTACTTGATTTTGAGATTCATATCTCTGTTTTTCTTCCTTTGTTTGCTGAGCCTTATACTGTGTATAATTACTACATGACTCCATGATAATGCTGCTGGCAGTAAACAAAGACAAGTCTGAATCTCTGTAAGGGTATTAAAGTTTAAGAAGGGAGAAGTCATTTTTGATTTACTTATCTCGCCCTGCTCCCTTGCCCACAAGTTTCTTCATAGTTGCTCCACGATGGAGCAAATTTGGCTTCCCACATTAGGCTGCCTTTTTCTTCCCCATGGGTGTGTGAGTGTGCTGGGGAGCTTGTGACTTGGATTAGAGCTGTTTAGAGCCCCAGATTTGCTCACCCGTTTGACGTGCAATAAATTCAAGCACTGCTAACGTTTCAAAATCATTCTGCTGGGATTGTTTCAGGACAAAAGAATGTTTCCTTCATTGCTGCATGGCCTAATTTTTTATGACAAAGAGATTTAGCAGCAAAAAACACTGGTGTGAATATAGCACCTGCACACATTCATGTTTAGTATTCATGGACCACCAAAGATGGTGTTTAAAACGTACACTGAGGTATGCTTGCAGCCAGATTTTGCTGTTTAATGGAAGGCTGAATACCATGGTGTTGTTATGTTTGTGTTTTGTTCTGCCCTTTTTCCCCTTCTGTATTGTTTTAAGAATACACAGGGGAATAGCTAAGCTGTGAGGCTGCTTTTTCTTAGCTGTTTTCAGTAATTTACTTCAGGTAACTCACAGCTTATAAGCCTTGTTGACTTGATGTTTGCCCAAAGAAGGGGCCTGAAGAGCATGCCCTGACTTTGGGATAGGGTCACCTATCCTGGGGGCAGGAAGATCTCCCTCTCAGAAGCTCTGTCCCATGAGATTCTGCCTCTTGCCAGTAGACCTGTTTTGCAGGATGGGAAGTGATCAGACATGATTCATGGAGACCAATGGTAGATTTTTCCAGAGTACTGTTGGATATTGTGGATTTAGTGATTGGTCCTTACAACTTGGCCAAATAAATAGAATCATAGGCTGGAAGGGATCTTCAAAGCTCATGTAGTCAAACCCCCCTGCAATGAGCAGGGACATCTTCAACTAGATCAGATATCTCAGAGCCGCATCCAGCCTGGCCTTGAGTGTCTCCAGGGATGGGGCATCCAACACCTCTCTGGGAAACCTGTGCCAGTGTTTTGCTAAATGAGAATCTCTCACATTTTGATGCATGGGTTCATATCATGTGATAACCTGAGCACTTCTTGTCTTCATTGTCCTCACCTGCCCACATCTTCTTTCTCCAGAAATGAGGTTGCCAGAGCACGGTTTGGCATTTGAGTAATGACTGCGCTTTACCCAGCTGATTTACAGCCAGAAATTGATCATTTTTATAAAGATTGGGTCCTGCAGGTGGTCCCTGCCTTTGCACACGTCTGCAGGGGCCTCTGAGTGGGAACTTTGTCTTCTTTGGAGCAGGGTGGCCCTATGCTGCCCCTTGTTTTCAGCACACTGCGGGAACAAGACTAAGGCCTGCGGCTTCCCACTGCTGCAGCATATTTACAGCTGAAACTCTGGCTGGATGTCTGTTACTGCCATTGCTGTGGTTTGTCATCCTGTGCTGGTAGGAATGAGGGAAAATGATGTATGCTGCTGCCCTGAAGTGGCTTGCAGGAGAAATGGGGGGAAAAAGTAGAAAAAGCCCCAACTCTTTGTGTATTCTTGAATCACACAGACTGATGTCTTGTCAAAATGTAGCTGCATCAACCCATACTTCAAAGGGAAAGGTCACTTCATGCTAAAATCTCACTTTTGCCAAACTCTCTGGGATTCAGCTATTGCCTCCATGAGCATTGGGAGTGGGAGCAGAGCAGGAATGCACAAGTAAGACTCTTGATCTGGTAAAGTTGGATTGGCCTGGAAAATGCAGCCCAGGACAGATAAAACTCAGTTGCTTATGAGTAAGGAATGCAGAGAGTATTTATAAAAAGCATATGTTGTCTGGCCCTTACAGACATACCACACCTCCTCTGTCTTACAAAAAACCCTAAAGTGTTTGCATAGTAGCAACAGCTCGGTGGCTTTGCTGATGCATCATGTATGTCATGGGAGACCTGGAGCCTGTTAGTAACAACAGGAAGGATTACTGACCCTTTAGCGTGTTTACAGCAACATGCAAAATATTTAGACTGAGTCTTCACTGACTGTCTTATTTTTTTAATGTCCATTTACATTAGTGCTCCCAAATTCTTTGTTCATATATGGAGTCTTCCATAGATAGAGGCACCATGTGAATGTGTGTATATATGTGTGGGTGTATATGTATATATTTGTCCAAATGTGCAGATGCGGCTAATTGTAAAGAGAATTATCTTCAACTGCATGTAAGGCAAAGCCTGTCAGCAGCTGTTAAGCAAGCTGTCTGTAAAAAACAGTGACCAAAAAAATGTGTTAATACACGCTGTCAAACAAATGTCATGACAGCTTGTTATGTTTTCCTTTTCTTTTTTCCACAATCAACACAAAGATGAACCCCAATTGTCTCACTGAATCGAGGGTGATGTTAGCTAACTTATCTTTACCATCAGTGTCCTTATCAAAGTGATTAGACTATCTTGATAGTGTGGTCTTGATGTCAGTAAAGCATTTAAATAAATGCTTAACCTTCAGTATATGAAAATATTTTGAAAATGAAATGGGAATAAATGCACCTGGAATGCCAAGCGGATGCTCCAGAGCCTTACCAAGTCCTTGCCTTGGCTGTTCCCAAGGAAAACCATCTATTCTGTTGTAGAAAATAACTACCCATATTGTAAAGCTGTCACGTGGCTGTGACAACCACAGAAGGTGCCAACTGGGAAATAGGACAAGTGCTGTATTTCCGATGTTGGCCGGTGTTATTTGCTGCTAGGGAAGCACAGACGTTGTCTTACTGCAGTAAACTGTAGAGGGAGGGCACAAGCCTCTCCCATCTTGGTGCCAAGAAGGTTGCCAAATGAAACCACATATTTAAAAAACTGTTGAAGTGGTTTCTCTTTAATCAGATAAACCAGAAGTTCAGAGCTATTTGCACTAATTAGTTTAATAGCACTTAAAAGACTGCAGATTAGGCAAGGAAGGCACGATTTGCAGTATTTGAAAGATGTCCTGCTATTACAAGATCTCTCCAGTCTAATAATAGGTCCATTTTGTTTCCTTACAGGTTAAACATATTGCTGGCTGGTATGAACCCCTTCTATTTCCATGCAGTGAATGTAATTTTACACTGTCTAGTGACTCTTGTGCTGATGTACACTTGTGACAAAGCTGTGTTCAAGGACTGTCGACTTGCTTTTGTCACGGCGCTGTTCTTTGCTGTGCATCCCATTCACACCGAGGCTGTAAGTATGTGACACACAAAAAATGGGTGACACAGAAGCTAAAGATAAATGTATACTTTATTTTTTGTTTGTTTTTAAAGCAAGCTCTGAATCATACAGAGTATGGCACTTGTGATTCTTTTCTGTGGAGGAGGAAAGGTGAGAATATACTATGTTTAAAATAATTTACAAGAGTCATTAAGAAAAAAGCATATTCGTACTTGCCATCTCTCTGCTCTGGCACTAAATCCTTATTGAGGCTCCTAATCAGCGATGCTGGGAAAAAATGGGCAGTCACTCAGATGATGAAAATCTTGAGTCTTCTGAAACCAAAGACCTCAGTGAGGCTGTGCTCTCCTGCTGGGACATTGTTGCATGCCTTCAGTCATCACCTATAGTCATCAATTTAAGGGAGAGAAAGCGAAGGGAGTATTAGTGTGTATACTGGAGGAGATGGCTCAGATTGAAGCAATGTGACCCATGGATTAATTTGTATTGATTTCAATTGAAAGCTGGGAGTATCATCTTCAGTATGACTTGTTAGCTTAATAAATGTCATGGTAAGTTTACAGAGCAACAGCTCATACTGGACATTTTCCATTTCATTATAAGGAAACAGTTAATGACATAGTCATGCTAAAACTGCAGTCTGCTAGCGCTGGGAGGTACTTCTGTAGATAAAATGAGTCTTTGAGAAGGAAATGCTGTGTCCAGCTACCCATACTTAAAAGAAACACACTCGTTAGCTGAGGTACCATTGATTGAGTGAGGTACACATGCTTTCATTACGAGCCTTTGTAAATGAGCGAGGGAAATGGCTGCTGCGGCTGAGAACTTCTGAGGAGAGATTACCTTCATAACAAAAAGCCACGAGCTTTACAGTTACTCCCTGTGCTGGTCTCGTGTGAACTAATCAGCTAGGCTCCTTTTGATAACACAGCTTTATATTATGAGGGAGGTTTTGGAAGAGGCACTCTTTGAATTTATTTTTGTCTGGGTCAAAACTTAAAAAGGTTAAAAAAAATTGCCGGAGCACTGAATATGGCTTAATTATGTAATCTCAAAAGAGGCGAGACTTCAAAGGGGCTTTTATTTGCTTTATGGGCAGTTTTTAGATCTTTGTGGAATGGAATATTGAAATAGTTTGTCAAAAAAGTGTTTATGCGTTCTTCTTCAGTATTCCCTTTCTCATAAGAAGATTTGGTCAATTAATGTGCAGAAAAAACTCCCATAAACTCAGATTATTCAGAAAGAGAATAAATTACATATCACTGTATGGCTTTTTGGTGATAAAGTTCATTCAGATATTAATTATTAACTCACTTCTATATAATAAGTCTTCTCCAAAGAGTTGCTCTTTTGTGTGTGTTTTCCTTTAAGAAATCTCAGTTCTGGGATTTGGATGTGTTTCTCATTGGAGCCTTATTATACAAAATTAAAACTTATCCCTAAAATTGGCATTTCTCTATGCAACTTTATTATTATTTTAATAAGAAATTAAAGAATGACTGAACTGTTGGTTTACTCATTTGTTTTGCCAAGTGAGAAATGCAGTAGACAAAGCTGAGTATATCCTAGGCTAACCAAGTAACATTTCACTATGTTGAGGGAGGATAACACTGAAAGATAGAAAGCTTAAAATAGCAGCAGTTATCATGGATCATTGAAATGCTCACTGAATGCATATGCCTTTTTATAGATATGCCTTTACACCTGCATGTCTCTTTTCCTTTCAGGTAACAGGTATAGTAGGCAGAGCCGATGTCCTAGCCTGCCTACTCTTTCTGTTGGCTTTTCTCTCCTATAATAGGTATGGATCCTTGCTATTGGTTGTGATGAGTTGCTATAGTCAGAGGAGACAAAGGGGTAACCTGTCAGTTTTTGGTTGCTAGTAGAGGTACTTCTCCCAGCACTAATACATGGAAGTGCCCTGGCCACTGTTTTCAGCCGTGGTGCCAAATAAGTGATGCTTATGAGAACATTATAAACAGAAAAAGAGAAGTCAGTATTTAAGGTCCCCTCTTCCATTGATGTTACGGAGGAGCATACGCTAGAGGAGGGCCTGCAGAGCTAAAAATGGTAAAGAAATATATTCAACTAAGGCAAATTGTCCATGTGTAGAGTGAAGCAAGGACACGTGGCTGCCTTTGAAATACATACTGTGACTCTGAAACACGTGGTCTTGAAGAGTTAAGGATTGCATCTAGACCATTACTTACCCTTTTCAGATGAACACTTGGCACCATTTGCTGGTCTGTCTTAAAACTGTGACGGAACAAGTATAGATAAAGAAATAGCTTTACTTGGATGGGGTTTATGCCCCTTTTGCATTCTTGTTATTTCATTTAGGAATGGCCACGTGGAAAAACTGCTTATATCCCTCTTGGGCTGTTTGCAGCTCTGTTTTTGTCAGAAGGTTACAAAGCCATAAAATTGGTAGTGACCCTGCAGGAATCTGCCTGTTTGATTTTGATGCTTCTTTCCCCTCCTGCAGGCTTGCTGCCCAGTCTATTAATGATTAGGTCACATCTTTGGCTCAGGGGGGTTGTGGGTGGGATGGAGGAATTTTTGCTTGCATAGTGCATTTTGTCACATAAGGAGAATAAAGCATGTGTGTTCTAGATGATGGAAAGCAGGTGTTTTTCTGCCCTTTCTGTCTCTGCACTTACTCTGCCTTCCTCTGTTTCTTCCAGCTTGTCTTTTTTCCCTTTTCTGCACAAATTCTTGGTGCACCTCTCAATATTTGTGTTTTCCCTTCCTGTCCCCTGTCTAAACCCTTCCTCATTTATCAGTGAACAGCGTACATTGTTCATGTCACTGATTACCAGCATCTTAAGAAATTAAGGGAAAAGTGTGTCAGTATTTGTGTAAATATAAGAAACATTAAAATAACACAAAAGTTAAAAATATTTATGTCAAATCTATTTTTCAGGAGTGTGGATCAGCTTTATGTTGGGGAACATTTCCCTCCCACTGCCTCCCCATTCTTTTTGCTGCTTAGTTTACTCCTTGGGACATGTGCAATGCTGGTGAAAGAAACTGGAGTCACTGTGTTTGGTGTGTGCTTGGTTTATGACTTCTTTTCCCTCTCCTGCAATGGACTCAAACTGTAAGTAACTTGCTGTGCTTTTCAGATGTTGCCTCCTGCGTGTGCAAAATATATATGATTATAGACAGCACTGTGGGAGATGGACTTGCCCCCCTGAATTCGATGGCACACATTTGACAAACCTTGAGTGGGGGAGGTTGTTACTCTATTGCTGCCTGGTAACTTTTGCTGGGTAGTAGAGCAGATGTGAAGAACTGATCTCTAAAATGCTCAATTCACTCTGGCAAGACTAGCATCTATTTTTTTCTGTGGGAGTTCCGAGTGAAGCATCAACATCTTCCAATTTCTTTGGCTCAACTCCTTCCAGTTACAATGTCTGCTTGATTATTTAGCTATAATGTCATAGTTTTAGGATATCATATGATGTTTAGTAGCAAAATCAGGTTTGATCCTTTCTGTCCTTACAGAATGGAAAAAGAGGGAAAATATTCAGCCAATTCTGGAATGACTGGAATAATTAGCAGCTCTTAGAAGTCAATGGAGAAACATCAAATACTTTGAAGTCTGTATCCCTCATCCACTTAGTGTCACAAATAACTGCGATTCTGTATCTCCGTTAAAAGTCTTTTGTTTGATAGAAGCTGGTTTTTATCCATTTCTCTCCAAAACCATACCTCATGCAGATCTGTTGATGAGCAAACATAAAAGCTTACTGCCACTGAGAATGGGAGGTCTTGCTCCTGCCATCGCCTTTTGAGTTTCCACCAGTGCTGCCCCACAGGCTCTGGAGCCTGTCACACCCCTGTGTGAGCTAATGTATTTAGGCTATCGAAAAGGGCACTGAATTTGTGTTTCTGCAGTAGTAATTAAATCAGCTCCCAAAAGGGTTTGGGGGGTACCAGAGTTGACAGAATGTGAAAGCAGGAAATGCAGGGAGGAGAAGAGGGATTCTCCTCTTTCAGGGGCATCCTTTCTTCCCACCCACTTCTTCTAGGTCCTAATGGGGAATGGACCCCCTGCCCTCCCTCAGCCCCTCTAGCAGCAATAGCAATGAGAGGGCAGGTACAGTGGATTGGCAGAGGACTTCTATTTTGACCAGATAAGTAATTCATAACAGTGTAACTGACGGGCAAGTAGCCAGCGAGCAGTTTTCTGGGGGCTGACAGCCGGCATGCTTGTTGACATTTGCATTTACCGTCTGCCAGGCGCGCTCCAGGAGCTGCCTGGCTAAAGGTAACACAAATGTCAATTAAGTGGGGGAAAACCTGTGCCTTCCTCCTCCCCCCTCCCCTCATCTCCTTCCTATAGGTTCACATTCCAGTGGCCTATCCAGGTTATTTCTTTGCTTCAGTGGCATCCAGTTGCCCGGGTATGGCAGTTCTTTAGCATGCAGGAATGAAGCTTTGTGATCCAGATGTGCTGCATTCTTATGTTTGCTCTGGTTTTCTGTCTGTTTGTGGTGCTCAGGATCTGATGACTTTTTTAGGGGGCAGAAACCAGCATCCTCCCATATGCTGCTAAAACTCACTTCCTCCTGCTCCTTCCCCCAACCTGGACAGATTTGATTTCTGTTTAGAAGAGGTAGAACACCCAATTATTTTCTGCAACAAAAAATTAGGAATAGCACCGTATTCTTCCTCACAGTGCTTCCCATCTTACCAGCAGACCAGAGAACAGCTTGATATGGGAGTGCTCATCTTCTGTTGCTGTCAGATCTCTTCTGATAGAGACCTAGTTAGGAGCTAATAAATCCTGTCCTCCCAGCAAGCAAAGACGTTGTATTTTGGATTAAATAAAATGTCACCTGTTGTAGTTAGATGCCATGTTGTGCTGTTTTCATAATGCTCAACCTTTTGATCAGTATATCTGAAAAATAAAAATCCTTAAATCCTTTTATTTCCCTTTTCCCCCCTTTTTTTCCCCTTTTCTCTGCATGCATTAGCAGGAGAAATGGGGGGATCCACCACAGACCTGCGCAGCAATCCTCAGCTTCTCCCTCTGCCTCACTGCCGGTCCCTCCTTCTGGTCGGGAGAATGGGAAGCATCGCTTTGCTCACCGGGGCACCTGGAGCTCCTGCCACCCTGCATCACCCGAGGAGCAGCGGAGCGGTGGCCTTTCTGTGCCCAGCAAAGCCATGTGGGCCATTCGGAGGTACTGCTGGCTGCCTGCCGCTGTGTTGTGGTTTAGTTTGTAGCCGATCTTATATTAAAATGGTTTATCCATTTTTTGTTAACTTTGGATTACCCATTTTTATCCTGAAATGTGCTGCAATTTTTCTTGTGCTACTGGAGAGGGAAAGAAAGGGGAAGGTGGAAGGAAAGTTGAGGAAAGAAAGAGGATGGAATTACAAAGGGTATGTATTCTGCTTGGGAATAAGAGAGTATCTGATGGCTGTCCATGTCCTGAGACTTTCTATCCTAGCATGATATTAGGCAATGCTCCTTTTCCCAGCTTATGTGTGGAGAAAGCCAAAACTGTAATGCTGGTTTGAATGTGAAGAGGGTGCATATGTGCATGTATACAATAATGTCTGAAATGAGTGCAGTGTAAGCAGCATATTATGTGATATTGCTATATATCTACATATGCACATGTCTGTAGGTATGATTTGTGCACATAGGTGTACATACATGCATATGTGTATGCGTATTTATGTATATATATGAAAGTAGTATATATGATAGCCGCTTCTGCTTTATACTTAAGAACGTGCATGTAATGGTGAGAGCCAGGCTTGAGCAGTAACAGAAGGATTTTCACTGGTCACATCCAGCAGTTCTTGGCATGATCACTGGGGAAGGCAGGAATCCAGGGCCACACTCTGGCATGGGACCAGCGCTTGGCGCCCTTATCCCTGTGGAACTGCACAGAGTTAGTAAGAGCATTTGAGGTGGTGTGACTCAGCAGCCCCCCACGGATGTGTGTCAGAGCGTGGGGGTTTTTCTTTTAACGTTGACTTTTGTACAGTCTCCCTGGTAGCCCTTGTCCAGCTTGTCCTTTGTCGCTAACTACAAAACACAGTACGATTTCATTTAGAGACCTGTAATAACAAATTGCCCTACACTACCTGGTCCTTGGAGAAAGTGTTTTGTTCCTTAAATAGATCAGAAAGATAGATCAGTTCTCTGATCACTTAATGGTTGGCACCTGAACAGGCCCTGTGCAACACTCCTGAAATCTGGAAAAGGGAGTGTTTTATTCTCACGTAGCACCCCTCATTAATCAGTTCAGTAGGAGCTGTTTGTTTGTTGTTGTTTATGTTGGGTTCTCTTATAAATAGTCTTGCTGCATCAGTAGTGATGACATTTAAGCATTACATGGGATCTGTAGCTTCTCGTATCAGAGAGTCTGTTTTCTTTTTTTCTGCAGATTAAATGGCTCAACCCACTTGAGAGCTTCTGCCCTGCATGTGTTTTGTCTGATTGATCTGACTTGGGCATGGTTGGGTTCTGCTTTTAACAAGGAAGGGAGTGGCTTTGGTCCAGTTGCCTCTCAGTGTGGGAATCTGTGATACAAAAATAGTACCGAATTTGAGGCTTTTTGGAGTGGGTAAGTGCTGGGTGCTGCAGCACGGAGGCTTTTCTGGCTGTTGGGAACAGCTTCTAAAATTGTTTGTTCAAATTTATTTCTTCTCCTGTATCCTAGATGTTCCACACAATTGGAAAGTGTGGGTCACTCTGGTAACTTCTGATATGCCAGGCCAGAATGGGCTGTCCAAAAGTCTCCTTCGACATTTTGCCTCCAAAGTTTAGGATCTGGTGGGGAGGAATAACGTGAGCATGACACTGGTGCAGCTGCTATTTGCTCTCTCCATGTTTCTCTCAATGCTTCTCATTGACATTTTTGTTTGTTTCCTTTTCCCCTGATGGATACTATGGTGGAGGGTACCAATATAAAAGGTATCTCCTGTCTTACTCCGTCTCTTGTTCCTTGTTTCTTTTATCCCTGTTTCTTTCTTTCTTCCTACTGCTCCTTTCCCCTCTCCTTTGCTTTGTACCCTTTCCAGACAGCCTCACCCTGCCGCTGCTTTTGGGAACATCTCTTTCTTACACCATGGGGAAAGCCTCTGCTTTTCCAGCTGCAGCAGAGGCTGCAGAAGTTGTGTTGGAGAGACTGTACATGTGGGATGGCTTTGGAGGGAGCTCATCCATGCTGCCAACTGGCATTTGTTTTTCAGCAGCTGCCTCTTCGAGTGTTGTGAAGGATTTCTGCACATGGCAAATCTAGCTCCGCGTGTACATAGCTGCTTTCTTTTTTAAAAGGGTCTCTCATGGTGCAAGCTGCTCAGCTTCTCTTTCCAAGTGACTGACTGTGTACAACACACTTGCGACAACCTGTTGCCTGCTGATGGTTCACTCTGGGATGCCCAAAGTAGAGCTGGCTTGATCCCAATGGCTGAGAGGGAAGCCTGGTGCCAGACATTTATATAAGAGTTGTGCCTGAGAGCCTTGGGAGAAAGCCTGGGATGGGTTAATGGATGCTGCACACTGCTGGCAACCTTCTTTGCTAGTTTTTGCCTTGCTCTGAATTCCTCTTTCCTCTGAATGCTTAGAGGATAACTTCTTGTTGCATGGAATGACAGCGTCTTAGTGCCTGAGCAATTTGACCAGTGCCTGCTTGTCTAATGTCAGTGGTTGCTAGTCAGTATAAAAAACCTAAATATGCTGCTTCAGCGTTTGTAATTCCAAGAGACCTTCTCAGTTCACAACCACATGGAGCGTGCTTGCAGTCATATGGAACAGCAAGAGTCAATGTATTGCAGCTCACTGACTCTCAAATGATGTTCACCTCACGTAGAGAGAGGTCTGTGACCACTACCTGGTCTAATTGCAACCTTCTCCTTACTTCCATTTGCTGACTCCTCTCATAGGATAGATTAAAATAGTTGAAATACACTGTACACTGTCTTTAGTGCTATTGGCAGATTATATGATATGAAGTAGGAACCGCTCAAGGCAATTGCTCTATTAAAAGACAATCCATCTTTTCTAAAGTAAATTCTTGCTATAGATGAAAAAAGGTAGAAGGAAAAAAACTGCAGTCACTAATACACAAAATTAATTGCACAATTTCTCTTCTGTGATCGATGTTTCTCTGACTGGTGTAGGTCTGTTCCGTGCAAAAGGAAAGATTTTAAGTATTTCAAAAACTCCAAAGTTGGAGGGCAGGTTGGGTAGAGTGCAATAGCTGCTGGTACCTTACCTAGTGCACCAGGTTGCTAGTTGTAATGCCTTCATTACAGTAAAATAGTTGTTCACTGTTTAATAGGTACTTTTAAGTACTTGTGATCAATTACATTCCTATTTAATAATAATTTATTACATATCTTACTACTAGAGCTAACTGAAAAATGCAGGAAAATGTAATGGAGGAGTTAAGGGAATCAGTCCAATTAGTAGCAACTGGAGTTAGTTATGTAAATTCTAAGTACAGAATGATTTCTGTTCTTTATTGTCACTTGTTCGTCAGCTATTCTGTGAATGTGGGTGTTACAGTCCTGGATGCCTTCAGGAGTCTGGTTGAAATTGCAGGTTTTATCACCATGATTTATTGCCATTTTGGGGGATGCTGGCATATACAGTGAAACAGGGTAGCTAGGATCAATTACGATTTGGATCCATCTCCCTGAATTTTAAGACCTGAAAGAGACTTGTGACTGCATGTGTACTCCTATAGGACATAAATGGAGAAGTGCAGGCAGGAACTTTCACGTCAAGCTTGTACTTCTGTTTGGGGCGAGGCCAGACCTTTAGTGCTTTCACTGTGATGGTGCAGTATACATATATGTGTCCTATTAAAAAGCATTATCACTGTCAACACTTCATTGCTCACCATAGTGATACTTTGTCAGATCCATGAATATGTTAAAACGAGTTGTCACAGTCCTTCGTGCAAGTTGTGTCTGTAGTTATTGTCACTCATTTTCTTTCTCTTGATTTGTTGAAAACATGGAAAACAGAGAGCTGGTTTTGGTTTGGAGTGTTTTTTTTCATTTTTTTCTTTTACTATTTTTAATTTCAAGGCTACATATAACTGTAGTCATGCCGTCTCATACATGCCTCACGCTCAGCATTGCTAAATGCTGTCCTACCCGTGGATACCCTCATACCACCTAATCACCCTGATGGTTTTGAGCTTTGAGCAATGATTCTATGGTGAGCCCACAGTCTAAGCTTCTTGAAAAACAAGACTCCTTAATAGCTTGCATACATTTGAAACTGAAATCTGTTTATCTTTGGTGATCTAAAACCTGATTTTTATTGCATCTGCTGGTGGTGATTTAGCTGGTGAGACCTTTCTTTTAGAATGGACAGTAGATTGGTGTTAAAGACTGCCATTTTCCTCATACATGAACTGTTATATCGGATTTTTGTGGTGGTTTAGTTTTGGTTTGTTTTCGTTTTTTTTTCCCCCAGTTGACAGAATGAGGGAACAAGCAGGTGTACGTGGAGCTGTGTTCAACATCATCACTTTAAATCTCTGTATGTGCAGAAGAGAATGAGGGAGCTCACTACTTGTTAGCACTGTGGGATCCAGGCACAAAACCCTATTGATCCAAAATTCAATGAAATCCTTCGGACTAAAGCAGGGATAAGTGTGATCTGATGACTAAACCGGCAGTGATGTGCCTTTCTTTTGCAGTAGCAGGGGAAGGAAAATGGAAATGCTTTGCAGAATGTGGTGCATTCCAGGGATGGCTGTGCTGGCCCTGAAATTGACATACTATGGGGAAAAGCATGTTAAGGTCATAACATGTCTTCCCAGAGTCCCTGTGCAGCATGTAGCCAGTGTTTGAGTTGAAACAGATGCTGCTCTCCAACATGAAGGAAGAGCGGGAAGGGGGGATCAAAGTGTTGGCACGCATAACTTGCGACTACGTAGGAATTGCTTGGTGTTGATTTGGCTTTCCTCACTGGGTGCTTCTATTCTAATTCTTGTGTAGCAATGGGTGGGTTTTTTAATTAATATGCCAGTGTAGCACTTTCCTGCTCTAACATGAAATTCCTGTTCAAAAAGCGGAGGTCTCACCTGCACTTTTTAATGCTTCCCCTTGCCATGCAGTGCAATGCTGTTTCCTAGATTCATAAACAACATAAGCAGAATAGTGTGACCAGTTTCCCAGATACAGGATTTAATGTGTGCGAGCTTTA